CCTACAAATAGGTGGTCTAGAGCTTTGACACTTGCCTTGTCAGCTATAAGTCGTAGTCTGAATGCAGCCGCAGGCACTTTTCTTACAGCTGGCTATGCCTGATGTGTTAACATCAACTCTCTCATAAAATCATAAACTGAACACTGTTTCTAATATTTACCCATTTTTGTATATATATATATATATACATATATATGTATAAATGTATATATACATATATACGTATATATATATATGTATATATATTATGTATATATGTATATATACACATACATATATGTATATATATATATATCTATATATATATGTATATATATATATATATCAAACATTTAATTACAGTGCACAGTTACATGTGGAACTGGCTCACAGACAAGAGATGTAATGTGCGTAGTGGCGGGCACTACAATGGTCGTAGAAAGTTCTTTTTGTGACAGCCTAGATCCTCCAGTGACATCAGTTGTATGTAATGAAGAAACCTGTCCTTTCATCGAAATAGATGTCTCAGAGTGGAGTGCCGTAAGTGATCACATGCTTATTTACACCACTTTCTTTCTTTAAGTAAACCATTTAAACAAAGTTTATAAAAAAAAATGCACTGCATTAACACAGAATTATATGTATTCTCTCACCATCCCGATTTTATAAGAATTCAATAAATGTACAAACCAAAACTGATTTTATAATATAAATTTAATGTGTATACTCCTAGTCAGAATACATTAATTTTACAAGTGAAGACATATACTCGATTATTATGAATTTCGTCACTGTCTGTTGTTCATTTATATGTTTATAACGCACATCTATTATGATTGTTATTTGTATTAAGAAGCTTTAATGCAATATATTGTCTTAATTTGTTCGTCTCAGTGTTCGTCAACTTGCGGATTTTCAACCCGGTCTCGAACAGTTCGATGTCTGGAGAATACAGGTGTTGAGATTTCCCTGTACTTCTGCTTGGACGCAGGTCTAACACTACCAAATACGGTTGAGTTTTGCAGCGGACTACCAGCTTGTGATAAGGTGTATTCATATGTTACTGGAACATGGGGATCGGTACGTTTATTTAAATACTGTAATCACAGTATGTGTTTGTGTGGATCTAGCTCAGATCCATAGTTCATTTTTCCATTTAATAATTATCTGTGCCGATTTGATCCTTAAATTATACTAAAATAAAAGTTTTCTTTAAAAACTAGACATTATATTTTTCATGTGCTTATAATATGAATACAGAATAGGCTTTTTACAGATTTTGTAATGTCAAATTAACTAATTAGTTAAAATTATAACAAATTTGTTTTGATGACAACTTCTATACATTTGTCCTGGTATAACACATCTCTGTTTAACATATATTATTACAATTATTAATCATAGCGGAGTGTTGTATTAAGTCTTTGAAATTCTCTTTATCCTTTAGTGCTCCGTAACCTGTGCCAGTGGGATTCGAAGTCGCTCTGTTATATGTGAAGAAGTAGGAACGAATGTTAGAGTAGATAATAGTTTCTGTTCTGGGCTTACTGCTCCAGAATCAGATGAGATCTGCACTCTATCTGCTTGTCCTACGTATGGTTTCATTACCGGTGATTGGTCAGTGGTAAGTCCAAATTACAGAAAAAATATGACAAAAGTGTGGGCGTTAGTTTACCTCTTCAAAAGACAATTATAGAGCAAATAACAAGAGTGTTTATTATATTTTCCTCTACCCGAAGTGCTCCGTTACCTGTGGTGCAAATCAGTTTACAAATATATATTATAGGCGAATGGGGAACACTTAGTACTTTTATTATATTATTATATAATTATTTATACTGAACTAACAGAGGAAAATACTTTGAATCGCGACTGGCTAAAAATATAACAGCTTACATTAATTGTACTATAGTTAAATTGGATATTAAATTTTTACTAGCAATGGTAAAATACTAAAAATTACATAAAATACAATACTAAGTTAAGTAAAAGACAGATTATTAGTAACGATTGAGAAATTAATTATACCGAAGTATAAAAAATACCACTATAATGTATAAGTTAGATACGTCTAAAACCGAACATACAAAATGACATAACAATTAAAAGGCAGATTATAAGACACTCTTTTTCAAAATGAACACCATTTATCATAATAAAAAATTTCAAAAAGAAAACAAAATATAATAAAACCTGAACTATATACTTATATATAAACATAAGAATTCGTAGTATCTATTTATTATATAGTTTCATTCGAAACTTTCTATTTTTCAGTGCTCTGTAACCTGTGCCAATGGAGTTAGAAGTCGCTCTGTTACTTGTGTAGAAGTAGGAACAAATGCTGCAGTAGAAAACATTTTCTGTGCTGGACACACTGCTCCAGATTCAAGTGAGATCTGTACACTGGCTGCTTGTCCTACGTATGACTACATAACCGGTGATTGGTCAGTGGTAAGTCCAAACTACAGCATTAAGACAGTCAATTTTAGGACGTTTGTTTCCCTCTTCAAAAGACCAAAAAAGAACAAATGACAATGACGGTATATTATTTTTTCCTTAATCCGTAGTGCTCTGTTACCTGTGGCGCCGGCATCAGGACCCGAGATGTCGCTTGTCGAATTGTAGGAACCACCACTGTTGTTTCAAATGATAACTGTGGTGCCACAGAACAGCCGACCTCTGTGGAAGTCTGCACTCTGCAAGCTTGCTCAGTTTACAAATATATTGTAGGCGAATGGGGAACAGTTAGTACTTTTATTATATTATTATATAATTAATTATACTGAACTAACAGAGGAAAAATACATTGAATCGCGAATGGCTAAAAATAGAACAGCTAACATTAATTGTACTATAGATGAATTTGATATTAAATTTTTACTAGCAATGGTAAAATACTCAAAATTACATAAAATACAATACTAAGTTAAGTAAAAGACAGATTATTAGTAACGATTGAGAAATTAATTATACCGAAGTATAAAAAATACCACTATAATGTATAAGTTAGATACGTCTAAAACCGAACATACAAAATGACATAACAATTAAAAGGCAGATTATAAGACACTCTTTTTCAAAATGAACATCATTTATCATAATAAAAAATTTCAAAAAGAAAACAAAATATAATAAAACCTGAACTATATACTTATATATAAACATAAGAATTCGTAGTATCTATTTATTATATAGTTTCATTCGAAACTTTCTATTTTTCAGTGCTCTGTAACCTGTGCCAATGGAGTTAGAAGTCGCTCTGTTACTTGTGTAGAAGTAGGAACAAATGCTGCAGTAGAAAACATTTTCTGTGCTGGACACACTGCTCCAGATTCAAGTGAGATCTGTACACTGGCTGCTTGTCCTACGTATGACTACATAACCGGTGATTGGTCAGTGGTAAGTCCAAACTACAGCATTAAGACAGTCAATTTTAGGACGTTTGTTTCCCTCTTCAAAAGACCAAAAAAGAACAAATGACAATGACGGTATATTATTTTTTCCTTAATCCGTAGTGCTCTGTTACCTGTGGCGCCGGCATCAGGACCCGAGATGTCGCTTGTCGAATTGTAGGAACCACCACTGTTGTTTCAAATGATAACTGTGGTGCCACAGAACAGCCGACCTCTGTGGAAGTCTGCACTCTGCAAGCTTGCTCAGTTTACAAATATATTGTAGGCGAATGGGGAACAGTTAGTACTTTTATTATATTATTATATAATTAATTATACTGAACTAACAGAGGAAAAATACATTGAATCGCGAATGGCTAAAAATAGAACAGCTAACATTAATTGTACTATAGATGAATTTGATATTAAATTTTTACTAGCAATGGTAAAATACTCAAAATTACATAAAATACAATACTAAGTTAAGTAAAAGACAGATTATTAGTAACGATTGAGAAATTAATTATACCGAAGTATAAAAAATACCACTATAATGTATAAGTTAGATACGTCTAAAACCGAACATACAAAATGACATAACAATTAAAAGGCAGATTATAAGACACTCTTTTTCAAAATGAACATCATTTATCATAATAAAAAATTTCAAAAAGAAAACAAAATATAATAAAACCTGAACTATATACTTATATATAAACATAAGAATTCGTAGTATCTATTTATTATATAGTTTCATTCGAAACTTTCTATTTTTCAGTGCTCTGTAACCTGTGCCAATGGAGTTAGAAGTCGCTCTGTTACTTGTGTAGAAGTAGGAACAAATGCTGCAGTAGAAAACATTTTCTGTGCTGGACACACTGCTCCAGATTCAAGTGAGATCTGTACACTGGCTGCTTGTCCTACGTATGACTACATAACCGGTGATTGGTCAGTGGTAAGTCCAAACTACAGCATTAAGACAGTCAATTTTAGGACGTTTGTTTCCCTCTTCAAAAGACCAAAAAAGAACAAATGACAATGACGGTATATTATTTTTTCCTTAATCCGTAGTGCTCTGTTACCTGTGGCGCCGGCATCAGGACCCGAGATGTCGCTTGTCGAATTGTAGGAACCACCACTGTTGTTTCAAATGATAACTGTGGTGCCACAGAACAGCCGACCTCTGTGGAAGTCTGCACTCTGCAAGCTTGCTCAGTTTACAAATATATTGTAGGCGAATGGGGAACAGTTAGTACTTTTATTATATTATTATATAATTAATTATACTGAACTAACAGAGGAAAAATACATTGAATCGCGAATGGCTAAAAATAGAACAGCTAACATTAATTGTACTATAGATGAATTTGATATTAAATTTTTACTAGCAATGGTAAAATACTCAAAATTACATAAAATACAATACTAAGTTAAGTAAAAGACAGATTATTAGTAACGATTGAGAAATTAATTATACCGAAGTATAAAAAATACCACTATAATGTATAAGTTAGATACGTCTAAAACCGAACATACAAAATGACATAACAATTAAAAGGCAGATTATAAGACACTCTTTTTCAAAATGAACATCATTTATCATAATAAAAAATTTCAAAAAGAAAACAAAATATAATAAAACCTGAACTATATACTTATATATAAACATAAGAATTCGTAGTATCTATTTATTATATAGTTTCATTCGAAACTTTCTATTTTTCAGTGCTCTGTAACCTGTGCCAATGGAGTTAGAAGTCGCTCTGTTACTTGTGTAGAAGTAGGAACAAATGCTGCAGTAGAAAACATTTTCTGTGCTGGACACACTGCTCCAGATTCAAGTGAGATCTGTACACTGGCTGCTTGTCCTACGTATGACTACATAACCGGTGATTGGTCAGTGGTAAGTCCAAACTACAGCATTAAGACAGTCAATTTTAGGACGTTTGTTTCCCTCTTCAAAAGACCAAAAAAGAACAAATGACAATGACGGTATATTATTTTTTCCTTAATCCGTAGTGCTCTGTTACCTGTGGCGCCGGCATCAGGACCCGAGATGTCGCTTGTCGAATTGTAGGAACCACCACTGTTGTTTCAAATGATAACTGTGGTGCCACAGAACAGCCGACCTCTGTGGAAGTCTGCACTCTGCAAGCTTGCTCAGTTTACAAATATATTGTAGGCGAATGGGGAACAGTTAGTACTTTTATTATATTATTATATAATTAATTATACTGAACTAACAGAGGAGTACCGGTATCAGAACCCGAGACGTTGCTTGCCAAATTGAAGAAACCGCCACTGTTGTTTCAAATGATAACTGCGGTAGCACTGAACAGCCGACCTCTGTGGAAGTGTGTACTCTGCAAGCTTGCTCAGTTTACCAATATTTTGTAGGCGAATGGGGAACAGTTAGTACTTTTAATATATTGTTGTACAACGTATTACACAGAACTGATAGAAACAAAAATATACAGCTTATAGCAAATACATTATTATAAAGGTTATTATAAAATATATTATAACATACCAGTATAGAATATTACTCGGTAAACACAAGTACTACAATTAAACGTTAAATTGATTTTCCAATAAAATCACATGAAGTAAATATGCCTACATAACACTGACACAAATTCTCTATTTAATAAAATACGCAACCTCATTATATCACCTTATTTTTTTTAATAGTGTTCAGTGACATGTGGAGCCGGCCAAAGAGTACGCACCGTTACATGTGTTGATACGCACTCAGCAGTAGAAGTTGATATTTCTCTCTGTCCTGGACCTGTCCCTGACGAAATTCAAACGTGCGAGCTGGATACGTGCATTATCTACTCTTTTCAGTATAGTGCATGGACAGAAGTAAGTTATTTTATTTTATTTGTATACAAAATTATTAGTAGGACGTCCTAAACATCTGTTATTCTTCCTCTAATTACACTTAAAAACATTATTTTCATTACTCAATATTTAATTTGTATAACCTTTACATAGTGTTCCGAGACATGTGGCGATAGCGCTATCCGATACAGAACTGCCACATGCATCGTAGATGGTACACGAGATGAAGCAGATGAGATACAGTGCATCACACATGGACTTGTAAAATTAAGCACGGAAGAGAACTGCTTTCATGTTGGCTTTGTGGGGTTATGTCCATTCTATGCGTTTAACCTTGGCGAATTTGGTGAAGTAAGAACAATCTTAATTTCTATATTAGAATATTACAATACTAAAATTTGTACATTAGATATTAGGGCCTACGATAATTTACTTTAGCCATTTTTTTCGTCAACACATACTGAAAAAGATGCTTTTGTTCCCAAAATAGGACACCCATTCTAGAACACAAATATCACCTACGATCCAAAAAAAAAATAGTTTTCATTAATTATTAAGAATTACGATATCCGTTGTATACTGAGATTTTTAACAGTCACGAACATGATTTCAGCGAACATGAAAAAAATAGTTATTTAACAGAAAACCATCGACATGAAACAACATTCCTTTGGTTGCTTTGGGTTTAATGGCCTGGTATGGTGCGTTATTTCCTTGGCGGACACAACAGAGTTGATTTACTCTTGTGTTATGTTTTCTCTTTGAACATCCCCGAGTATTGTTAATTTGACATGACCTGATGTTCAAACAGGCCTCTTCTTGGGTAAGCCTGAACCGCTTAACGTCGCTGAATTTGACTGTCTAGCCCTTATATAGGATCAACATAAACGTATGTTGCCTTCACCCGGGTCATATTTAGATTCTGAGCTGATGTCCTGGCAAAACGTAGACCTTGCTGAAATCCTCACTGTCATTCGTTCTCTCCAACATTGTCTCGCAGTCTTCAATATGGGAAGACACTGTCTGGGTTGTCCTGTGCGATTTGTTTGTTGTTCATCGCACTCGTTTGTATGTCTGTGACTCGTGGCCATTTAAACCTGCTTCCAATGATACCGTACCATCGCTTGCGAGGTGGTTTCGACCATTCAAGAAAAAAGCGTCCGCTTTCAAAAAATTACTCGTGCCACCCCCCCCCCCAGTTTTCCCCAGAAAAATTACTTGCAAGTAGTTAAAAATAGCCTAAATTCACCTTATTTTGCGAGTTAGCGCCCCTCAAATGAACATCGATTCCCCACTTCACCTCGCGCCCCCATCAGAACCCCCTTTCAAGACTTCTAGATACTCCACTGAATATCAACATCACATTTGATTGGTGTAATCAGACTTTCTAATCCAATATCTTTTTTTGTTTTATGTTCATTTATACATAATCTCGTTTGCAGATATCATAGCAATTATATGTATTCTTGCCTATATTAAAATTATGCAAAATGTACAATATATTTTGGTTGCTCATACTTGCTATAAATTATTTGCATTTGCACTCTGTAGGCATGTAATTATCAGAATAAGAAAAAAAAATCTTCTGTTGAATCAAAGTGCATCGCTTTATTTTTTAATAGTGTTCAGTGACATGTGGAACGGGCCAGAGAGTACGCTCAGTAATATGTTTGGATATATACTCAGACGTAGAAGTTGATATTTCCCTCTGTCCTGGAACTGTACCTGTCGTAACTCAAAGCTGTCAGCTAGATGCATGTCTCATGTACGTTGTAACCCTTATTTTATCACTTTAAGTTTTAAAGATCTACCTTGGTATGTGCTGTTATCGTGATTCAATATTTTAAACTTTATTCATCTTCAGAAATCAGTTGATACCAATTCAATTGAATTTAAGCTACATTCACATAGGATCGCGTTTCCGACGCGCTGAACGCCAGTCTTACATACTGATTCGGTTCTAATCGGTTCGGTAGGATTTCCCATCGGATTCGGTGTGAATGAACCTTTATTTTCAAAAACATTAAGAACATAAGTTTTGAATTTTGGTTGTTTACGGTTTAATATTAAATAAATCGTATAATATTAAACAAGTACGTCCCTGGTAAAAGGATAAATATTAAAGATTGAGGTTAAAATTATTAAGAATAAAATTTTTTAAATAGTTATAGGTTTAGCTAAAATCAACGATTTCAACCAATTTGGTGTTAATACAGTGTATAAGCATTCATTATTTACTAGAGTACAAATTACGTTAAGGCTGACCAATCGATTCTGTATTATTGATTTAAGCAAAAAGTTTACATGAAAATGATTCCTCTTGGGACATCCGACAATCATCCTAGTATTGTTGAAAATAAAGTTTTAAAAGATTTAAGATTATTTCTAACAATATCAATATCTTTCATAGTCAGTCAATTCCAAATTCTGCGTACACAGAATGTTAAAATCCCTCGTGTGTACATGATTACAATTAACTCTTTAAGATAAGGTACCAAAACATGTCTATTTTGTTAAAAATACCTTAAATGATATAAACCACATGAACTGAAATTTTACACGACCTTAAATAGGAGACTTAAAATACACTGTTACATCACCACCAAGATTCTTGTGATATTGATTTAAGGACTTCTAAACACATGATACTGAACACTGAGAATTTTATGTTCAATATAAAAATCATATATTTATTGCAAGATTATTATAATTTCATTTTACTTTTATTCGTAAAAACAATTTAAAATTACAAAATGGTTGCCCAAAGGCCAAATTGTTTATGAACTGTACATCTTCTGACTGTTAAGATATTAATTAATAAATAGATAAACTAGGATATCATAAAAAAATAAGCAGAAATCTGACAATTCCTGTATATCAACTAATATGAAATAAATCATTTCTGATCTCACACTACAGATACCAATATCTACATTCTGAATGGAGTGTGTGTGACTGCAACAACCTGATACGTTCGAGAGCTGTGATGTGCGCTGAAATTTCTGCTGGTGTAGCTCAGAGTTACAAAGACGAAATTTTCTGTACAGCAGACGGTATCATAAAGCCGCCCAGTGTAGAAGCATGCGTTCCAGAGCAAGGAGCTTGCGAGGGTAACTGGGTTACAGGCGAGTGGTCAGAGGTAAGTTAACTCCATATATTATTCTATAAACAAGCCACGTCTAAGAATATCATAATTAATAAATTAATATATAATTAATGATATTATATATATATATATTGAAGAGTGGGTTTGCATGTATGCTTCAAGTGAAATAAAATGTAAAAACAATGAAAAAACGGTGTAAAATTATAGAAAGTTGACTTGCGGAACACAAATTTATTAAACTATAACAAAATCAGCATATATATACAAGTATTCCCAACAGAAACAGCGAATTCTAGATCTTACTAAGAAAATAGTTAGATACATAATTATGTTAATCAACGATTAACATAAAACGGGATTTAGTTTAATACTATTGTGACATTATAAATCCATTGAAAACCATTAAAAGTCTCCTATATCGGATAATCCATTTTCATGCGTCTCTTGTTTGATTTGATGTAGTGTTCAGTTACGTGTGCTGATGGAATCCAAAGCCGAAATGTCTACTGCACAGACAAGTTTGACGCTACCCTGACTGTTGCTGACAACCAATGTAATTCAGATAGTAAGCCAGATAGTCAGCAGGCTTGCAAACTCGATTCCTGCTCCGTGTAAGTTATGAATAATGAGATTTTTTTATCGAAATTTTACATTAGACAATAATTTAATTTTCTATAAACTATACCACATTAATGTTGTTTTAAGCAAGCTTTTTTTGTTATCGGCACGACTTCATAGGCTGTGTAATTTGCGTGGATTGGATTGGATTTATTCGGTGTAAACACCAAGGATATCCCACGAAAGTCTAGAAGAAGACTTATTTCCAGTGGGGCCCTTCTGGTGGTGATTGGACAGTACACCGGGAGACAATCCCCTACTCTTTTCCGAAGAGTGTACTGCGTTCTTTAACGTGCACATGGGCCATAAATGCACACGGGACCAAAAGCTTAAACGTCTCATCCAAAAGACGGTGCGCTATTGTAACTTTTATTTTAGCCCTCAACACAAGGAGAGGCAGCGATGGGAATTGAACCGGGGACCTAGAGATCTCCACGGTTCAGCGCACACACAGTGGCTACCACCAGATTAGCCGACTGAGCTAAACTGCCCTCTGTAAATCGCGTTTTGATTTATACGAAATTAACTTATCGTCTAATAGGCTACATATGTAAACCAGATGAATTAATACGAGAGCATACTTTTTCGTAAATGTCTTAAAGTTGTTTAATTATAGAGGGTATAAATGACATTAATGCACTCATTCCATAGAGAATAATTTTTTTTTTTTTGTAAAATTTGCTGACAAAAACAACAGCATACCAAAACATCCAATTAAACATGTATTTTGGCGTTTTTTCATTTTAAAAAATAGGTACAATTATCAATTCTACGCTAGTACCTGGAGTGACTGTAGCGCTACCTGTGATGAAGGAATACAGACAAGGATTATCATTTGTACTGAATTCGTTAATAATATCCTTACCGGGTCAGTTGCTGATACGTTCTGCGAAGGTATAAAACGCCCTTCAGAATCTCAAACATGTAATCTGGTCGCTTGTCAAGGAACCTTCTATGCCGGAGTCTGGGGACCAGTAAGTATAATGACATCGCACTTTTTAAAATGTCTAATATCAAACACATTAATTATTTTAATAAGCCTATATTGTTTTCCAATACATGTTTTTAGCTTAACGTATATCATAAAGTAAAATTCCACACAACAACTGCACATTATTATGCCTTATATAGAGACAGATTATATTGGGACGTCAGTGTGAGCTGAAACTGTACAAACAATGTTTGCAGATAATATTACCTGTTAAGTATACTTCAGCAATAATTACTTAAATCTGGTTTTTTTTTTTCAATAAGTGTTCCGTAACATGCGGCTGTGGCGTGCAAACTCGAGTTGTGGAATGCAGACTAACTAAAGATAAAGCAGTGACAGCAGTGGTTGAAGACCGATGCACAGGCACAAAACCAATCGTGGAACAAGAGTGCCGAAATGCAGCTTGCCCAGAACCATTTGGTAAGTTATTCATATTGGCCGTATTCGACTGAACGTTTTTCGTTAAACCACGCCCACCTGCGCAGTAGTAAAATCATACTTACCGAAGATGACCAGTCGAATAGAAAACTGGTAAATACTCGACAAAACAAAATGGCTGCATAGTTACCGCGATACATGCTGTGTAATCTAGGTCGCTTCGGCTTGTGACAGCAGTATGGGTTTTTCGTTAAAAAAAATGTTTTCAATCAGTTTTTGAATTCTGTTAGCCTACAATTAGTTTTGACTTCATGTGGGTAAATATAATTTTATTTTATGAAATTTAATCTAAATTGTATTAACGCAAATGTTTTTTTTTTTTTTGCTAAACTGACCAATCGGCTATGTTTGTTTTAGTCACATGAATAAATTAATGTTGATTGACGCACCCTGGTTTACGTTAATTTTCTTTGTCAACGAAGTCTGTTTTACGAACCAGTCGAATGAAAATAATACTCAACGAAAAATCGTAGTCAACGAAATGAACTAGTCGAATACGCCTCTTGAATTAATTTCGTCAGGTCTTAACTAGCGTGGTTCCGTTTTCGTGTAGTGACGACCTTTACTGATAGCATTCAAATTTCATCCAATCGCAAAACCTCGACTTAGGCGCATAATACTATTCTGTGGAAATCACTTTCAGAGTAATTACAGATTGTCGTCTTCATTTGGCAGCATAGTAGGCCTAGTCATGCTAAAACTGTTTAACCTAATCTGCCATCTACACATTTAAATGACGTGTACTTTAATAAGTTGCATATGGGTAATGAATTGTCTATTCTAATATTCATTCGAGTGAGACAACGCCCAGCACCAATCTAACTCCCAAACAACACTATCTCGGAAGCATCTCAAAATTACATCTATTGTCTTACACATTATTCTATATAACAAGTTTATCTAAAAATTATGATACTGTATTATATAATTAAAAATATTAAATTGTGCAGAATATTTTTTATTAGGCCTATATCATCTTCAAAAAAACATGAAATTACATAGAGAAAAACATTTTAAACAGCATAAAAAGTAAAAATATAAAATTTAAAAAAATGTCTGATACTATATAATTAAAATTATTAAGAAAGTATAATACATACTCCGAGTATTGAAACACACGCCATCGTGTTGGGAATCCCAACACGATGGCGTGTATTTTAATACTTGGAGTATGTATTATGCTTTCTTATCTGAGATTAATCAAATGGACCTTTCGGTTTTTTTTAAATTATTAAATTGTGAAGAATATTTCAATGAACAAAATGAAATATTCTTATATTCAATTTTGCATGATGTAGGACGCGTTACCAATTAACTTTAATGAATTATCTTGTTTCTAAGATTGCGGAACAACTTACTCAGAAGAATCCGGTGTAATATATTCTCCTCAATACCCAATGAGTTATCCAAATGACCTGGACTGTACCGTTACAATTGACCTTGCCCCTGACGTCATTGCTAACGTTGGCTCCCTGGTCCAGATCGCCATCACGCGATTCGAACTTGAAGACGAGACTAACTGCAAATTCGACAACCTTCAGGTAGGTACTTTAATCATTGTGTTTATCACACATATCAGTGATAAGTCACTTAGAGGAGAATAATGTAAAAATAACAAAATTGCTGAACAACTTTAAATATTTTCTTGTTGAATATGAATATTAGTAATTTTCAACTCATATGGTACGGTAATTATTAACTTACAATGTGTAAGAACAGTATACCTCAATACCACTAAAAATACCCCCACCCCACTAAAAGGAATATAATAATTTGTTACGTGAACAAAGTGAAGTTCAATAAAATTTGATATTTATATGTTGTGGATTTTCATATAGGTATTCACTTAAATTTATTTATTCCATTCATTTTCCTTTTTAATATGTTTTATTGATAAACATATTAATATCGTTCGTATGTTGAATATAATTAATACTTTTAATGAAGTAATAATTGTTCTTAGGTACAAAGCACCACATTTTAAACCCAATTACTTTAGTGGTGGCCTTTTTCCATTGCCTATGAACTATATTACCTCGTATTATATATTATATGAAAAACAATTTTGCTTTTTAAAAATAATTAAAATTTTATTGAAATCGTGTACATTAATGTAAAAAAGAAATCAATAATTTGAGACACGGACAATCCGAAATTGATTGACATTTAAATATGAATGGTAAGGTGCAAACTATTTTTATTCAACAGATCAATGATGGTGTTGTCACCGAAATTCTTTGTGGAAGTATGGATGCTCTGCCGTATTTGATAACTGCCTCCGGTTCAACGGTGCACCTAACTCTTCATACAGATGCAACAATAACAGATGCTGGTTACATTATAACATACACGGCAGTTCAACCATCTCCTGCTCCTTAGTTAATGATATTAATTTTAACTCTAAAATTTTGACCATAATAAAATTGAATAGGCTGAAATAGATTAAAAATGTACTTAATAAAGGTAGATAAATGTTATAGTTCAGAAGATGCGTATGCTTTAATAGGCTAAATATTCAGTCAACGAGTTGATTTAACCTAAACATTGGTTGTAGGCCTAAGCGTTCATGAGCCTGTGGTTTTATTCAATTAATGTGGTCACTTGTATCGTTTTGAGCGTTTGAAGAAACAATATAATATACTACCGTAACTGCAACCAACACTCAGAGTAATTAATATGAGCTAATATTTATTCCACTCTTTCATCGCCAGGAAAACCAACCATGTGTTGATATGTACATAATGTAAATCTCTTAATCCTAATTATTAACAATTGTATCTTATTTTTAGGCCTTATATTTTTACTAACAAATTCTCATTTTTAGATTTAGAAAACTTAAATAATTCATTTAAAATATGATAGTGGTATGATTAATACATATAAAAAGGGGCATCATTTCACTTTACATGTGTTACATTGGAAATGTGTTATTTGACAGGTAAATGCAATGCCATTTAAAGACAATTTCATACTAAAAACAATAAATGTTGTTATTATAAAATAACGGAAAATATACTAGTAGTATTATTTATTCATACTAACCAACCTGGTCTGTTACAATCAGGATTTCACTGTTCCCTGATTAAAATACTATGCACATGGAAATCTCTAAATTTTATATTTTGCTGTTATTGATATAACTGGCATGTATTTTGGCCATTAGCAGCGCCATCACAGCCACAATCTATAGAAGGTAAACTATAGGGTCTATAGATACCTTTTATCATCAAAATTAAAGCTATGAATCTATTAGGATGGATTGGTGAAGCAGACCTATACACTGTTATAAATGATAAATGATTTAAGATCTCAGCGACAAAGCATTGGTTCGGGCGTCCTGAAAGGGAAAATTTAGACCCGATCCATGACATTTCTCTTATACTCTATACATTATAATATTCACCAACAACACAAATATTTTGTACTTATATATATATAGTGAACTATTTAATTAGCCTTTACTTTCAATGCAACTTTCAATGAATGTTATTAGAATTACATTTATCAATTTCCGTACACTTCAGAGTCGGCCTTACACTGAACCTTTCAGTCTGTATATTAATATAAATATCATTGGCCAAATCTTCTGGTGTGTTGATTGACGAGACATTTACATTTAATGAGCATATTAATAAGGTCTTTATTATTAAATAGTCAGTTCAAATGCCATACGATTAACAAAATGCATTTTCTGTTTCACGTGTGAATGGTCGTTCCCTGCGGAAACATTATAAAAGCATTATTGGCATTATCATATACCTGTCTCTTATACACATCTAGATGTGTATAAGAGACAGTAGTTAATGACCCCGCCAAATAAAAACCACCTCCAATTAAAGACCCCTTTAAAAAATGTTTTTCTATGTTTATTATTCGAAGAGAAACTGCTGAACACCATGGAAACATTGGTCCCAGAAATGGTCTTTAGTTAGAGGGAGTCCTGTATTTATAATTTAATGATATTGTTGAAATAATTTTTGTATTATGTTCAGTTATTTTTAATTGAATTGTAAGTACAATTTGTTTTTTTATGTTTTTTTATAATGTAAATTTTTGATCTATTTTTTCAAAGAATTAGCTATCCTGTAG